CTTCACATTGCTAGTTTGGTCCAACTAACAGACAAAAACCAACAGATATTAAATTTATAATAATATAAACAGAACAAATTTAAAGACAAGGACGTTGATATTGGACAATTCTGCTCAGCCCAGGTTTACGTTCAATGACAATGAGGGTTTTTTGTAGTTAAAGTCACACTTTCGACAATGTCTGCACATGGCAGCTACCATATAGTTAGGGTTAGGTAAAAGATTGTGGTTATGGCAAATAAACAATGGTTAAAAGAGTACTCCGCTCATTTAACCAACAACATTTTTTACATCCAGCGCCAGAGTTTTAAAAAATCTTGCATTCTACGTTGGCAGCTGCTACGTGGTTATGGTTAGGAAAGGATTGTGGTTATGGTAAATAAACATAACCAACGTAATCAGTCATACAAAATAGCACTCATCCTTAATAGGGTTTAAATAAATAACGTGGGGAATAACTAACCCTCAGTAAATATCCTATTTTAGCTCTTTCCCTTTCCCCAACCATTCACTCCCACTGATTCTCACTCTTACCAGAACAATTAGTCCTTTTGTCTTTATTCGACTCCCTGAATTTTATGTTGTTTTGAGCGGTTGCAGCTCTGTTTAGGTTCATGAATCACTGTTTTGTGGGATGTGTGAAGCTTCCAGTATAACAATAAAATGAAATGAAACTCAGAGGAATGTATATCATAAGTCAATGTCGTGCACTTTCTCTGTGAGAGATATTGTTGTTATGTGCATTGGTCCTATGCAGTAAATCCCACTGAGCTGATATTCTGTGCAAGTGGAATTCTCTCCACTGTTCTAGCTGGTGTAGACTTCTCCTGTCATCTTCCCTTCCCTGAAGTTCGATCTTTGTCACTGCTTATCTGTTTACTGGCCGGCTGGCATGTCGTCTGGCTCCACTGTAACAACAGCAGCTAATGTCATCTTTCCAGGTAACATGACACTTGCTGTGCTGCATTCTCTGTCATGAGAGACAGCATGTAAACACCCACGCACATACAAGCAGCAGTCTATATGAGCAAATACACAGTGTGTGGTTGACAGTCACACACGCTCCAAACAGAAAATTTGGCATCACAGATTGAAGAACCTGTCCCCCTTTCTCAGAACTAATGCTTCCAAACCTGAGCCAGAACTACATGATGTAAAAAGAGCTATTTGGCCATCTGTGGACTTGATCTTCAGATAGAGAAATGTCAGCGAAAGCAAAGGAAAACATGCACTCCACAGGGGAGCAGTTGGTGAAATAAGGGCATCTTCAAGGAGACTTGGAAAACGTTCCTGTTCCTCTACAGTTACAGCGGCTGCAGGAGGCTCAAACAAACGTTGTGTTGCAGATGTACTGCAGCAGCATCTGTAGAACACCTCATTTTGATGTCAGAACGTATAGCTTCATTTATAAATTGTCTCAGCTGTTATGCGTGTCCTTTACATTTAGCCTGTGTTGTGATATATGACCTGTGATGGTCTGGTCTGATCTCTGATGGTTGGAGTTGAAGGCCAGATGAGACCATCCATCAGAGGGGTTTGATCTTCGTCCTGCTGGGTCGTTCCCTCCTCTTCATGCTGCGTGAAGCTGCACTGAGCCTCTACACCATCTGCCCACTTCAGGCCTGGTTTACTCTTTCCATAGTCACTAAGCATTGCTTAAAGAGGAAAATAATTACCTAAATGAAAAGTCTTCTGTAGCTTTTTTTGCTTGCTTGCTAATTCTCTGTGGGATCAGTGACCTGTTTCACATCACATATTATTGGATGCATTGTTGATATTAAAATATCGAGCTTTAAACATATTTGCTGAAACTACAATCTGAAGTGAAAATGATCAAGCAAAGAACAGGAACAACAATGATCACTGCCTCTGCTATGTTTGGTGGAGAGAAAGCTGCTGAGGTGTGCAGAACGAGTCTCTCTTTGATGGATTCTCTGCATTCATTTGAACAGCTAACGCCCTTGTCCATACAGTGCATTTTCTATTCGCTATACAGTCCCTATACATGATGGATGCACAAGTTGCCTAAATCCAGAAGCTTCGGGACTGTAATAAAAAGCCATGTAATGCAATGTGACTTCATGCTTGTTATGTAAAATGCTGAAAGGAAGGCTTCAAATGAGACATTTTGCGCAATAGTTCAACTGAACACAGTGAAGCTATGACACGTTTTAAAAGTGCACTATGGTCAAATTGGAAACGTGTCCTTTTTGCCCCTATTCTCAAACATCTGAATTTTTAAAGATACCTGAGTCTCCCTTACACTACACTCCCTCCGGGCACTTTGTCCTTTTCCTCCTCCCTGCACCTCTTTGTTCTCTGCAGTCTGTGACCTAGGAAAGAACTCATCCATCTTGAGAGTTTGATCCTGTCCCACTGTGCCCGGCCTGTCATTACATGCCTGGGGGGGTGGGGGTGGGTGCTGACTGTCCTGGACTGTGGGACCATGAGACCGCTCTAAGCCCAGAGCCATCTGGTTACGCTACATTTCCCAAAAGCATACAGTTTGAGTTGCACTTTGTCTTTCCCTCTGGTGCCCTTTTGTCTTTTGCTTTCATTGTTAACCCTTTCACCCCCACACTAACACTGGTATTTATTGTAATAATATAAACTGCATAGTTCTGCACCTTCTTTTCTACATTATGTCTCCATGTCTCCTCTCCTGCTTTCTCCCTCTTCATTTTAGTGCTCCAACTTATGCTTGCAAGGCTACAGAACATCACTGGATCGGAAAACCATTTGGTTGTCAATTTGTTTTCCTCTGTTTGTCCTCCCTTCTGTCACCAGAGCATCTCCTCTCCCCCTCCCATGTGCTTTTTGAGCATGGAGGGGGATGAAGAAGGTTTAGAAGAGGTTCCTACTAGAAATGAGCAGTAAAATGTTTTTTATTAGTTTTGATGACAAGATAAGAGATCAATTTCTTTCACGTTCTCCAGCTAAAGAGCTTTTAGAGGGGCTCTGCTGCTTACCTGGGCCCATTAATATAAGACCATCTGCCTGCTTCAGGCCTGGATTCCCAAATATAAAATGAGTTTGATCTCTCTTTCTATCTCTCTCCGGCGCTCAGTTTTTCCTTTTATTAGCGGTGATTCTGCCTCCATTTGAGGAGGAAAATGGATGGCCATATGTCTACTTTAATAACTCAAGTGTTGGCAAAATAAAAGGTTCCCAGGAACTAGCTATTGGTGGAAATGAGTAAGAGATGGATGATGTCCATTTGCCCTTATAGGGATTAAGGTGAATTGATGTTAGACTGATTTTTCAAACAATACACATGTACAAGGTTATACAATGGGATGAATCGTTTTTGGAAAGAAGTCATTAATACAGCTGAGGGCAATTTGGAACAAAATCAAGTTTAATTTTTGACTAAAGCTGTATTACATTGGCCACAGTTGAGGAAGCAGCAAAGTGCTGTGGTCAACTGTTAAACATGTGAGCTCTGTTTAGGTTGCGTTCGATTACAGTGTGAGAGACAATAAAGTTTTACAAGCTATCAAACAATTGCGCTGTGATTTATAAGTGTTTATAACTGTCTTGGACAGGTTGTCAGAGCTGCTCCTGAGATAAAAGTTGCAGCCCGTCGAGAGACTGCTAATATTCTCTTTTGAAACTTTTTGAATGCGTGGAGGAAAGACTATAATAATAAATAATTAACAATTGGTGCACAGTTGGTGCACAATTAACAATTGGTGCACAGAAATATGTGACAACCAAGGAACACAAATTGAAATAACGAAAACTTTTTGAACTTTGGCAAATAAAGGTGGGTTCATGACCCCATTGCTCACTGTAAGAAGCTGTTTTCATGCCCTTAAAGATCTGACAGTCTATTGTTTATAAAAGAATAAAGAGGCTCAGTGTCTGTGTCTAAAATTGGTTTGCTTATAAACTGAAGTTTGGAACACTCAACGGGGATGAAAAGTGAACATTACTGTCTTTCACAGCATGACGACACACTATCATTAATAAATGGAGCAGGACAAGAGGACAGGCCAGTACAGCTTCACAGTGCAGGTGGACTATTTTAACCCATCTCATCTATCATTAAAACACGGTATGGACAGACATGTGGGATGATCACCTGATGGATGGATGGACAGAATATTATGGAATACTGTGAAAAATTCACAGGCAAAGTCTTGTGTCTTTGTTGGCTGAACAAATGTGTGGTAACAGCCAGGCAAACTGTACAGCTGCGGGTACGACATATTACCATCAGGTACACAGACAGGCTCCAGTCTGACTTGTAGTCAGCTTATTATTAATGGATGTACAAGCCGGGGCAGGAGATGAGTACAGTAAAGGCACCAACAGGTGCAGCACACAGTTTGTCCTTGTCCATCTCATCTATAAACCATAGAAAGCCTCCCATTATCTACTGTATCCATTTTAATATTTTACAATCTATGATGAAGTGCTCCTCGGTACTGCTGACTGTCAGTGGTCTTACCCTGAGATGGTGTGTGCATCTGTGTGTGATGATACGTTAGCCAGAGGGGATTAAGTCCTTGCAATACGCACCTTAATTAACCCCCACTCATTAATTTCCCCTTCATGTGTCCAGCAGAAAGCACAGTCCGGCTAGGCCCCAATCTTTCTCATGATTTATTTGGTGCATAGGTCGTAATCTTTTCAAACTATATTAATTTTCCCAGGACGACTTGCAGACAGTTGCTATAACACAGCTCTGTGTGATAGCTGCCGTGGGGATTGCTTTACAGAAAGGATTTATATACAGAGGTATAAAAGCATGCTTTTATCCTTATGTGATTTAGGTCTGATATTCCTGGTTGAGCTTGCTCAAACTCAAAGGGTTCGCATGAGGGTTTAGATCAGATTTTAGGTAAAAGAAATCTAAATCCAGCTGTAAATCACAGTAGCAGCCTGCTGGGCTCAGATTTCTTTTTGTTTTTCTTTTTCAAAGTCAGTGTCAAACTTGCTCCAAGACATGTATTTATTTCAAAACACACAGCCAGTAACAACACAAGACCACATGCTGAAATATAAATAGTTTATATTTGAGAAAATAACATGATACATATTTCACATACATACAATTTCAAGACCGTAACATTTTGGATTGGATTTTTGATTTTAGTATGTCACTAGTGTATATTATCACAGACCTTTATATCTTCTGGTAGCCTGGTAGATTATAATGACTAATAATGAGTTGTTTGTTCAGGTAAAATACTTTAAAGGCAACAATTGCTTTTGGTTTTGCAGAACAAGGGTAAATACATTACCTGAAGAAACATCAGTGAACATTAAAACAGTAACTCAAATTCATGCGAATCCTTTTAAAGGACCAGTGTGTGGGATTTGGTGGCATCTAGTGGTGAAGTTTCAAACTGCAACTAACTGAACACCTGTGAACATCTGTATTTGACCATTCTGGGCTACTGTAGAAACATAGCAGTTTAACATCTGTAGATGTTACGTAACGTCTGTAGATAAAAACTATGGTAACAAAAACTATTCTTATTTCCAGGTGATTACACACTAATGAAGTTAGTTATAGTATTATATTCTGTTCCTGAAAATAGATCCACCTAACTGTAACACACTGGACCTTTTAAGGCTTCTGTTTCTTGTTGCAACTGATAATAAATGGTTTTATGATACACATATATATATAAAATCTGGTAAAAGTAATGTAATTTCCCTCCACAGAAATGACAAACCATCTATTTCTTATCAGAGTTGTAGTGGTAAGGCAACAGTACGTTTACCATAATGTGATAAAGGTATTATCACAACCTCTTCAAACCAGGTTTGCTAATCTGTCCTACTGCCCTTCAGCAGAAAAGGCTACAGGGAGCCCAAATGTTAAATTAAATCCAGCAAAGGTGTAGTTCTGAGCCTCTGCTGAGAGAGACAATATAAAGATACACATCTGGTGATAAGAGCATATAGAATACAAAAATAATGCAACTGCAATCCAGCTGTGGTATGCAGGGTGCAGACGATAAGCCACATACATCTTACAATATGGTGATGTAATGTAAGATAACTGGAATTGAAGAATGCATGTATACCCACATTGCATACCCACAATGGAAGGTCACAGAACAACAAAGCTGACAGCCTGCAGTATTAGCTGGACATCAGAAAAGTGTATCAGCAACCCTCGATAAATGTCATTGTGACCAATCCCAAAAATATTTGGCATGTATTACAGCACCAGGAGAGAGGCTTTAATGGATGCATAGACTTATACATGATGTGGCAAAGTGAGCCGCATCCATCAACACATAATGCCGAGATATTCCAACATTCCTTGTGAATGTTTGTTGTTTTCATATGTACACATACACATATACATGACATAAACTGACACAAAAAACAGAAGGAAGTGCTTCTACTTTTAGATTAAGTTTGATTCTCCTTTGGCCTGTGACCTTATAATGCCTGTAAAGACTGATAATGTAATATATTGCTGAAAGATACATGAGAAGACTGATACCACTCTCATGTTTGTACAGTGAATATGAAGCTCCAGCTAGCAGGCGGTTAGCTTAGCTTAGCATAAAGACTGGAAACGGGGGAAGCAGCTAGCTTGCACTGCAGTGTGTAATTTAAACGAGATGTTTACTGAAGAGAAACTAAAGACAGACAGGTATTGATGAAGAGATGGACACAAATTGGCTGCTAAGTTAAAAAGGTGACTGAGAGACTTCATAAGCAGGTACAGTGGCTTTATTACTTAATTAAATCATGGCTAGGGGAGGAAAAAAGAAACCTGCGCAGACTACTGATCAGCTGCTGCTGCTGCTGTGTTTTAGCCTGCAGTGCTTTTGGAAGACGGAACTATCAAGAAACGGGTGAAAGAGCCACAACTTTCCATGAGACTATATTGGTAGATTAGTGTTTGGGTTATAAACAGAACTTCTAAATAAAATATTTGTGCATTTTGGAAGGCTGGAATGGATAAATAAGGTGTTAATGTTTCTGTAATGGCAAGCATTACATAAACTGTCCTCTGTTTAATGGGGCATTTTTGGGTGAATGAAGACATTTCAAAGTTTGTTTTCTACTTTAGATGGCTTGTCTAGGAATGACTAAACATGCAATGAAAGGGAAACTAAATATTCTAATCTAAAGGCACCGTCTGAGAATTGATTTGGGGGTACGAAAAGAGGAGGATACGTTTTCTTTTGGCTAAAGTATTCGTTTCTGGGAGGGCAGTGGGTGGTCACAAAATATTAAACATTCCAGTCACTCTCTTGACTGGAGTATTTAATATTTTGTGCACTTCCACTTCAAATGTGTGTGTTGGTGGCTATAGCATAGTTACATGAAGATATTAAGGTTTAAATTGCGGTACACAATTTAACAAGTTGTACCAATTCAATATCGTTCAATATTATTTTTCAGATATTGGGATATTGTTACAGATTTCTTTTAATTCAAGGAGAAAGAAAATATTTATAATGTGGAACGTAAGATTTAGAGCCCTCTGGATGGCAATAACTTTTATAAAGTCCCTAAAAGTAAGTAAAAGTTTTTTTTAGCACTTTATTTTAACCTTTATTTAACCAGGAAGTCCCTTGAGATTTAAATCTCTTCTGTAAAACTAAACCAAGTCTCACTTGGTTGACTTTTCATTCATACGTTTCCTGCACATTCAAGTCTTTTCCTGTTTAGTTGAGTGTTAACACTAAATGTGTTCAATAAATGAAGGTAAAATACAGTCTACTGTAATATTCCTGCTCAGCATGTTGATTTAACCATTGCTTATCGACCATGCTTATGACTGGTTCTTTGAGACCATTTGGAAGAGCAAAAAGACATCAAAGAATCAGCAGACGATGGGACACTAGAGAATGCCACAAATATGTAGTAACACTGTTAATTAAGTTACATATTTTGACCTGAAGTCTGACTTGTTCTTTGGAGTATACAAAAGATGTTGTGACTGAGGTACAGTGCAAAGCATTGCAGCATGGCCACAGTTCTTCATGGTTTTCACACACCCTGTGGAAGACTTGCAATTCTTGTCAATTAAACCACAAAGTAGAGTCATAACACACAGATTGTGGCCTTGGCTTGCCGCTGGGTGCCAACAGCAAAAATCAAATACAGCTGCAGACACACCAGAAAGCGTGTCACACACACACACACTCTATCTGTGTATCATGAGAACAGTCCATGGACGTGTGGAGTGTGAAGAGGGAGACTCATCAGTCAGGCAGTAGATTCCAGTGCAGGGCTACTAGTGTAGGACTGGTTGTTACAGCTGCCATTACAGCAGCACACACCTTCTGTTAGTGAGCTGCCAACGTGAGTAATGTTTCCCTCTTACAGTTTCTATGTCCACTACACTTCAGGATCCAAGTAACGTTCAACACAGAACAAATAAATAGTATAAAATGCTGAAAATGCACCAAAATACTTCTTTATCTCACTAACAATTTAAAGGAAAATGTGTTGTGTTATTTGGAATTTGTTCAAGGTTAAAAATATTTGCTTAATTGCACTTTTAAAATGTTTGGCTCTGCATGATACCCACAATACTTTGGCTGAAGGCTGAACACTATAAAGACTAAAAGGATTAGACTCATTGAAATTCACACAGAAGCCCTGATTTTTACTTTGCCCAAAGCAACAGTCACGTTCAACCTAGCTTGACCCGTGTGTCTTGGCTGTAGAAAAGGACCTGCAGCAGGATGGCCACGTCGATTAGGATCTGGACCAAACCGCAAACCCAGAACTGAGCCGGGCTTTCGTTCATCACGAAGTAGGTGGTCTTGAAGATGTCACCGGCTGTCCACAGAAGCACCATCTTCACACTAGAGCACAGAGAGACACAGAGAGACACGGTGAAGGTGTGGGAACAGAGAGAATTAAGGAGTTTTCTCTTTCAAGAATATTTTGACATTTGGGTAATACACTTAGCATAATGACTGGAAACCGCAACAGCTTGACTCTGTCCAAAAGCAAGGGGGTTAGGAGCTATTTCTTAGCCTGGACCAGCTACCAAGCAACCAGCTGAGGCTCCTCGAAGTTACTAGTGCCAGCCAGAAATAGTACAGCTCATTACCCCTCATAAAATCACAATGTGTTGTTTTTGTGTGGATTTTGTTACCATTTGATGGAGCCAGGCTATCCAGTTTCCCCCTCTCTATGCTATACTAAGCTAATAGTCTACTGGCTTCAGCTAAATACTTCTCAGGAAAGAGACAAATTAATTAGTAAATTCTTACAAAATGTCAAACTATTCCTTTACATGTTTTATCTTTTTTACAAAGAACACAAAGTAAAAAAACTGCAGTTAAAGAAAAATATCAGCAGTGTGCTTCTTTTCTGTTTTACAACTGCAAACCTTTAACTGGTTTTGAAAGTGTTCTGGTCTTGATTTTGTTCCTGCTGTATAAGAAACAGCAGGGAGGCAGTTTAAAAATCAATGAAGAGGGTGAAGTAAACTACCAATTGATCACAGCAATTAAGAGACAGTGATGGAAAGAGACATTAAGGCTGAGAAGAAAGACCTTGAGGAAGATATGAGTCTTACCATGCCAATCCACCCCTCACCTCCATACTTTCTGATGCCGTCTCATTTATTTTCATGTTTCTTTAACTCTTCCCCTTCACAGCCTCTGCCCTCACTCCTACTCCAGCGACTATCTGCTCCCTCTTCTATTTCCTATCTGGACAGTGTCCCATAGGTATGAATGTAATATGAGTTTATTCTTTTTATTGGGGATGACTGGGCCTGGGGGCGGAGCAGGACCATCAGTCATCAATGAGACATACTGTAAGGGTCAGAGGGGTGAGGGAGAAAGGAAAGGAGAGAGACAGAGACAGAGAGCCTGCAGAGGACAGCATTTATCTAGCATACAGTAAGAGAGACAGGGCTAAGACAACAAAACCACCAGAGAGAAAGAGAGGGACCTCTGTGAATGGGGAGAAGACCTCTGTGAGAAAGATATGGATGATGAGTGCATATGGGGGTAGAGGCAGCCTAATGACTATAGGGAAAGATGTCCTGTACTATCCTTGAGCTCCCCTTGCAGAGTCATGTCAAACTCCTAACTCTCCCCTGGGCTCTCTCCAGGCCCTGATGAGGAACCGAAACAATCCTGTCCTGGCATGGAAATAAGGACATTCTTATTCAGCATACCTGGGAATGTACTAAATATAGACATTGCATTGCAGTATTGAAATGTGATTAATAACCCAAAATGATGCAGGCTGCCAACATGGGCTGTGCTGGAGAGCTACAGGATGTGTAATGATGGAAGTTAAACTCACAGCTGTTACTATACACATCTGGACACTTTTATATACAATCATATGTGGATTCATTATCTGTAATCCAATAGACTGATCATCACTGTAGGGGAAGTTGTTCAATATATTCAAGTTGTATGTTTTTGATTGGTCCAATATCTGTA